GGACGCAAAACGGTGCTTAATACGAATAAAAGGGCCGAAAGTGTGGGGGACCTGTGGGATTTAATTTAATTACATTTAAATAAAATAGTTTCTTTAATTCAAATTTTATAAAATAATGTTGAGATTAAAATTATTTAGAAAAAATAAGGGTTTTAAATATAAATAAAAATAAATATATTAAAATTGAAATTATATATTTATATGTAATTCTCCTTTAAAAATATTATAAAATTTAGTACTACTTATTAGATATAAATGAAAATGGGATTAAGAATAGAAAACTATTATTTTTTTAAAATTAATTACTATTTAAATTTTCATGATGGCTTTAATCATTGTTAAATTATTTAATTTTTTAAATTAGGAGTGATCTTAATCGTTGTTAAAAGCTATATTTAAGAGTAATTTTAAAACAACTTCTATTTTCTGCCGTGATTCTACATTTATTTTGGTAGTAATATATATTTTTTTATTTTTAAGAAATTTTTTTTATTAAAAAGAAGATTTATAAAATAATAAAAAAGCCATCCCAACAAAGTCTTAGGCTTCTTTTGGTTCTTCCTCTCCTTTTGTAAAAGATAGTTTTAGAAACAATAGTCAAGAGAATGAAGTTTTCGAACGGGGAAGCAAATATAAAAAAAACTTCTCATAACAATAAAAAATGAAGTTCTCTAAAAAAATTTCTATAGAGGCGTCTCATCCAAAAAATAATTTTGTCATTTCTAAACAGAAAGGAAAAAAAAAACGCTGAAACAAACTAGGCGTTAGACTTTATTTGAGACAGCTTTCTTACTGCTTCTTAAAGTAATTTTTTTGTAAAAAATTAAAAAATTTGAACTCAAAAGCTGCTATAAAAAGCAGTAAAAAAACTATCTCAAATGAAACCTTAGTCTTGAAACATTTTATGTTTTGATGTATATAAAATTTATGTGAGATATTTATTAAGATTAAGATTTCGTTTGAAGCAACTTTCAAAATAGTTGTTTAGTACAAACATATCTTGAAAGTTGTTTTAAACATTATAAAAAAAATTGTCACAAACGAAGCCCAACATTTTGTTTGGATTAGCTTTTGACTACTGCTTCTTCACTGCTTTTAAGATATTTTTATGCTAAAAATCTACTTCAGAAAACAGTTAGAAGACTATCCCAAACAAAACTTTCCAAAGCAGCTTTCTAACACAACATTATTATTATTTTTTATATAAATTGAGGGCTTAGCCCATTCACAAATTTTTTTAAAATAGTTAAAAAAAATAAAAATCAAAAGTTATTTCAAACGTAGCCTTGAATTATGAGATATTTTAGGTTAATATAAATGGTTTATATCATATTTGAAATTATTGATACTATGATTATGACCAATGCCTTAACAAGGAAACGAAGCACCTTAGAAGAAATGGATGTTCATTATTGATGTCGCAATAGTCAAAAAATTTATATCTGTACTGCTTAATTTATTTATTTATTTTGTTTGATTGGAAAGAACTTTATACGGATGAAAATAAAGAGAAAAGCATGGAAAACAATATAAATATTTTCTATATATTTATGGGCATTGTAAGTAATAAATTTGTTTTAAATGTACATTGACCAAAATTTTAAATATGCATAATATTTTATTAATTTTTATTAATCATAAAATTAAATTTAAGATTTTATCAAAGTTGTGAAAAAGAAGTATTGTAATAATTATTAAATAGGAAAATATCATGTAGATTTTTAAAAAATATTTAGATAGATAATCATAATCTAACCAATTATATTGTATTGTTTTTGCTGATTAACAATAAAAAAAAATAGAGATTACCAACTTGATATAACAAAAATAAGAATATTTAATAAATAATAAAAATAAAAAAAATCAAGTTGAAAATTAATTTTATGAATTAATTCAAGAAATGAGGAGCTTAGGCCTATTCGAGATAAATCACACTTGTACTCATGTATATATGGCTATATACAAGCGGTAGCATTAAATAGGGGTGCAAAAGAGTCGAGTTGAGTCGAGCTCAAGTCAGACATAACTCGTGCTTGACTCGCAAGCCAATTCTCAAGCTAGATATCGAGTTGAGCTTAAAAGTCAAGCTCAAGCTAAACTCGCTAGTCAAAACGAGCTTGCAGAGCTACTTGTCGGCTCGTCGAGCAGCTCAATTCTGCGATTCACAAGCAAATTTCGCCCCTTATGCTGTTCACACGTGCTTCATTATTCCGTCGTTCGCACACAGTTTGCATGTGCTTCCACAGTTTGCACGCAGCACGCGGTTCTGCTTATGGTTCATCCCCCGTCATTCCGCCTTCAGCCTTCCGCGTTCAATGCTTCAAGCCTGCCCCCTGCCTTTCTATCATTCCACCTTCAGAGTTTCGCATCCGAGCCCCCCACTTGCATCCGAGCCGCTCAACAATTAATCAAGCAGAGTCTTCCATTGTTTAAACTTGAGCTCAAGCTTGATATTCGATAAGCTCGACTCACGAGCTTGTTATTTAGTCGGGCTGAAGTCGGCTTGACTCATTTACACCCTAGCATTAATATAAAAAAATATCAAAATTAGTTAAAAATTATTTAAAATATTATATGCCGCCTAACTAAATATTTATAAAATATATTCCAAGTAGTGCGAATAGGATTAATGATGATGAAGATGATGATAATAATAAGAATTCATGGTGGTGTGTACTATGTGCTTGCTTATTGGTTGACTAATGCTGGTCTTTATTCGGCTAAATCTGGACCATCAATTATTGCTGATTCAGAGGCTATGGTCCATCAAACTAAGTAAAATATAAAAGTTGATAATAAAATTTATTGCACTAATTATTATGCACGCTCAAACTTTTGTCGTGCTAGTAGCTGGCGGCTATTCATTCTCTCAATTATTTCTTGCAGGTATAAGCCAAGAGGTAGCTACCTAACAGAAGGAATGAAGGATGATCCTCTCTCAAGTTTATTTACTGTGATGCTCAGAGCTGCTATTTCGCAATAGATGTATTAGATCTGGCTTATGTGAGATCGGGTGGTCGACGAAAGAAATTATTCGTATCTCATTCAGGCTTGAATCCCGTAACTATCCTAAAAAAAAAGATCTGGCTTATGTTAAGAACAATTTAGATAAATTTTTTTAAACAATTGGTTAAAAAAAATATTAGAAATGACCCATTTTATTAGATTTATGGTTCGTTTGGGACGGTTTTTTTACTGTTTCTAAAAGAGGGTTTCTAGTATAAAATTTTTAATTTTTGTACTAGAAAGTCAATTTAAGAAACAATAAAAAGAATGTCCCAAACTAAGCCCTAAATGAGAATTTAATTCTTGATAGGATACATTGGAGAAAACTGATTCAAGTAGCAGACCCCATATAACAAGATAAAGGTTTGTTGTTGTTGTTGTTATTGTTGTTGTTGATGTTGTTGTTGCTGCTGCTGCGACTCAGAGCTGATATTGGAGGCGACAGAACAATTATTATATCCTCCGACCGAATGTAGAGTGTTCGATTTTATTGAAAAAACTCGGTACACCTCGGTATAGGCGCGTTTTTGCCTAAAACCGAACGCTCATCTACATCCTTACACCGAACTAAATAAAAGTTCCTACCACTGACTTTGCCTGCTATTTATTAAAAATTTTGCATGTAAATCTCATGTGAAAGTTGCTTGTGTGGACTGAGGAGGAATTAGTTGGGTGGTAAACTAATTATTGTAATAGATGAAGAGTTTATTGTACTAACATTGTAACTAAAAAATATGTTAATATAATATAGTAGATATTAATTGCGAAAGATATCTTATGTTGTCATACAAAAACAGCAGGATTAGTTCTAAGTTGAGCTCGCATGTGCAGCTCATCGATAGACGCAAAGAAATTCCTCTCGGTGGCTCACGTTCGAAGCCCCTAACATCCTTGCAAGAATGAGGTATAAGAGAAGGAAATTAAGTCACAATATGTCATCGTTGGATTGAAAAAATAAAAAAATTTGGAGGTTTTGATCGGACGATGAGCAGTTTAAATTTGCCAATCATGTTGTGATTGTAATCGATGCAATCACAAATCAATTGCTATACAAAATTACTTGACCAATTTTGTTCGATAAATAATCAGTCACTAAAATGATTCATTTTTTTACTGATACCAATAATCAATCAATCACCATATCGATCACAAAATGAAAAATACTTTGGCATTAAAAAATGATAATATTTAGATAAAAAAAAATAAGTTTTGATTTCTTTGGAATTTCCAAAGATAATTGGTACAATTTCTTAGAAAGGGAATGCCCTTTTAATCAAATCACACTTGATATTAGGGGTGTCAATATTTGACACGACCCGAAAACCCGACTCGAATCCGACCCGAAAATTCGGGTTAGGGTCAACCCGAACTTGAAACGGGTCGTGTCGGGTTGACCAAGCAACCCTATTTTGACCAGAAAAAGAGGAGATAGACCCATTTTTTACCCGAAAACTAGCAATTTTTTGTTGGAAACGGGTCATGTCGGGTTGACCCAGCGGGTCGGGTTCAGTTCAGGAAAATTGACTCGTTTTCAAAAACGGGTCGGGTTTGGGTTGACCCGAATAGTGTCGGGTCAGTTTTGGGTTCGACCCGAACCCGACCCGTAACCCGAAATTGACAACCCTACTTGATACGAGATATTGTCTATCCAAGACAATGAAGCCTCTATTATAAGAAGAAGAATATAAGAAATAAAAAAATCACTGAAACTTAATAGAGGATACTGCTTATTCAAGATAGTGAAATTTCTCAGACGTAAGAAGAAAAAAAGAAGAAAAAGAAAAAAAAAATATTGGAGATTGATAGTGAATATTACCTATTCAATACAATGGAATACCTCTAACGTAAAAAAGAAGTGAAGAAAAAGAAAATGGAGGCAAGAAGGATTTAAAAACTTCCTTTGCCAATCTTATGATCTCCCAATCTTTCTTAACTGAAGCCTAATCCATTAATTAACAATATATTAAATATTATATCATCACAATCCGAATCAAATTGGCTATTTATAAAACATTATTAATAGTAATTTGAATATAATAATATAAAGAATAGAACTTTGAACCATTAGAATAAGCTCTCCATAATAGATATCTATTAAAAATAGAATTCCACTATTATCTAAATACTTAGATTGCTAAACGTATTTAAAACATGGATTAACAGAATGGAAATCATTTATAATCTACGGATTATGATTTTATTAAGCATATTTAAGACGCCATTTCTGATCAGTTATATATTGTTAGACCTTTTATTTGTTCTTTCGTACGTAATTAGATAACTTTCTTTGTATTTTTGCCTGCCCATTATTTCTTTGCCAGGTCCAAGTCTGTAAATTAATAAAAGAAATAAATAAATAAATTTGCACTAATTTTAAAGCATATCTAAGATATTTAAATCCTATCCTGCCTAAATTTTTGATCGAGATGTCGGGATAAATTTTTTTTCTTATTATATCATATTATGATTTTAATTTTAAAATTAATTTCAATTATTATTAGCTTTTCTTTATATTAAATGTTTTAGTTTTTTGAATACTAAGAATTAGATAAAATTTAAGAATCATAATTTAAAATATAAATTACTTATCAAATATAAATTATTTAGATAATTTTGTCTGGACTTTTCACTACTATTAAAAGAGGCTTTCACAACAATTTTTTTATTCTACGACAGCGATTAAAACACCTACATATTTGTTATCGTTGTAAACGGCTGATTCTGACTTACTAACACAAAGAAAGATGCGCTTTAAGACTGTTGCGGTATACGGCCTATAACAGCCTTAATTAATTTGCTGCTAATGAATGTTACGAAAACCCTATATTTTTAGTAGTGAATTTCATTTAGAATTATATTTTATCTACAAATCTTCAGCAAGCTTATATCCTTTTCGTTTAAAAAAAAAACTCCAAATATTTTTTTGCATTTTTTTTTTCTATCACCATTTTTTAATTATTTTGTAACTAAAAATTTATAAAAAAAACTCTTTAGTTATACAAAAATTCATCCCATTTAATTAACTATTTTCCCCTTTTGGACGTTGGGAAATCTTTGAGAGTATTTGCTACGTCCATTTTTGGCTCTCCCATCTGATGGGTTTGTTATAAGAGGACTCCTATCTTCCATTACTAAGCCATAGCGATTTGAGCTTGCAATGGGAAAATTTGATCTTTGCTTTGTCTTCCTCCTCTTCTGTTTTCCTTTCCTCCATGGAAGATCTCTGAGGTCCTTACTTAACTCTGGAGGCACCAAAGATGGCTCTGAACAGTGGGGATATGTTGAAGTTAGACCAAGTAATTAGCTCTTTAATGCATAATTAATTAGATTTATGAAAGATTAATTAGTTTTTAATGAAGCTTTTTTTATTGATTTTGTTTTATTATGAAGAAGCACATATGTTCTGGTGGCTGTATCTGAGTCCTAATAGAGTTGAGAATGGCTCTACTCCATGGCCAACAGTGCTATGGTTGCAAGGAGGACCTGTGAGTTTTTTCAACCATAAAATTATTATTATTATTATTATTTTTTGAAAAGTTTTGGCTGGCTATATTTTTTATTATGATGGATCTTAAAGTTGTTAGATTTATGTTTAGATGAGTACGATATAGATTTTAATTGATTTTTGTATGTAAAACATTTATGTCAAAGTCGAGTTTAACGATTCTGAGGCCTATTCTGAACCAAAATTTTATTTTACAACAACAAAATCATCATCGAACTTTTATTCCACTATGTGAGGTCTAGTGCAAGAACTCCATTGTGTCATATTAAGGAAAAATTATTTTGTGTGATCACCGAACGGCGTCCAGAAGCAAATGAGAGCGCGCCACGTCATTTTTTTGTTGTGTACTGCTACTATGTACCGCTCGTTACCTGGTGATGTGACATGTTCTGATTTGTGTATGGACCGTTCGGTGACATTACAGAATAATTTCTCCAGGTTAAGAGTAAAATTCTCATTTAAATTCTATTGTGATATAATTTTTGGAAAAAAAAAAATTGTTAGGATATTCTCATTTAAATTCTACCTCACAACATGACGAACTTCAAAACTCTTGAATTTGTACAGAGGTTAGTGTAATTTAGAATATCATATGCTACACTAATCTCAAAGCAAATTTAAGAGTATTGAAGCTCGTCCTAATCAAGCACTGGATGTCAAGATATCTTGAAATATTTTTTCTAATTTTTTTTTCCTCTCTCATTTTTGAGAGATTATTACGTGCGAAGTCTGGACTTAAGCTACGTTCGGTTTCTGTGAGTGTGCGCAACAAAAGCGCAATAAAAACATAGTGGTGAACAATAACTGTGCTTCTATTCTATTGCGTTTTTATTACGCACACTCACAAAAAACGGATAATTCTCCGATTTGAACTCCGCATGTAATAATCTCTCCATCGATTTTGGCAACTAAATATGTTTATCTGTTGCTGTGAAGGGAGCTTCAGGTGTTGGTCTCGGAAACTTCAAAGAGATTGGACCGTTGGACACCAATCTCAACCCTAGAAACTCCACATGGTTGCAGAAAGCCAATCTTCTGTTTGTGGTAAGATTTGTTCTTTTCTCTGCTTTTTTAAGGAAATGTGAGTGTTCTAATTTTCTCTTTGAAAAATATGTTAATTTATAAATACATAATAGTTTTCCAATAATAATAGGCTTAAGTTTTAAAATTCTTTAAATTTATCCTAAAGGTTTATTATGTGGGCCCTTAAAGATCATTAGCACAGAGATTTTTAAGATATACGACGAACATAAGGCCGAAAACAAATAGTAATATGAAGAGATTCATCATAATTATGTCTACTGAAATTGGTATCTAAGACATCTATATTAGGAGAAATTATTCTGTGCGGAGACCAGACGTAAAATGTTGTCAGGAAACCAACAAGAATGTGCAACATCAACGGTACCGAGCCGCGGTACAGACCACAGGAGTGACGTGGCGCATTCTGGTTGGCCTCCGGATGGCGTTCAGCATCCGCACATAATAATTAATATTAGAGACTAAGGTTTTGTTTGGGACAGTTTCCTTACTATTTTCTGAAGCAGCTTTCTAGTACAATTTTTCTAGTTTAAACATTTTTTGTACTAAATAACTTCTTTAAATAATTAAAAAAATTATCCCAAATAAAATCTAAATATGATGCTGCTCATTGGTGAAATCAAAGACAACCAAGGGAGATAGTCACCAACTCTATATTTGAAGTAAATCACTTAATATTATATATTACATTAAAAATTTCATCATACTAAATATAAATACATAAATATAATTTAATATCAATCATATTTCATGAATATTTATCAATCTTATATAGTTTTTTTCATTATATTAAAATTTTGAACTTAGAAATATGAAATGGTTGTCCATTAATAATGATTCTTTTTTATGGTACTTAATGCCTTTCCATCAAATGGTTTTTGCAGGATAATCCAGTAGGAACTGGATATAGTTATGTGGAGGATTCCAACTCTTATGTCACTACTGATGAGGAAGCAGCCACAGACTTAACAGCTCTTCTGAAAAACCTCTATAATAACAATCAGATGCTTCAGAAAAGCCCTTTGTATGCAGTAGCAGAGTCTTATGGAGGAAAATTTGCTGTTACTCTCGCCTTATCTGTTTCCAAAGCTATCAAAGCTGGAGAATTAAAGCTCAACTTTTCTGGTGATTCTTCTTAGTTTCCTTCTCCTTTCATGTTTATTTTTGTCATTTAGGCTTCGTTTGAGACAGCTTTTGTGCTGCTTTTTAAAACGGTTTTCTAGTACAACAATTTCAAATTCAAGAAATTTTTGTACAAAAAAGCTGTTTTGAAAAGCAAGAAAAAAACCGCCCCAAACGAAGCCTTATACTTCAACTCCTTAATTATCTTTTGATTTTTTGTTTTGATTAGGAATTGCTTTAGGAGATAGCTGGATTTCTCCTGAAGATTTTGTGGTATGTTTGACTGTTGCCTTTATGATTCTTAACTTTATATGGATGCTTGTTTCATTTGTTTGATGTAATTATGCAGTTATCATGGGGACCTTTACTGAGAGATGTCTCCAGGCTTGATATTAACGGAGAAGCACAGTCTAACAAGTAAACAAATTTAGACTTCGTTTGGAACAACTTTAGACAACTGTTTTTCCTCTGTTTTTAACAGGATTTTGTGTTGAAAAGCAGCTTTATAAAGCAGTAAAAAAGACATCCCAAACGAAACCTTAATCACCATTAACTTTACATTATAATTTTAATTCTATGATTTATATCAACATTATTTAATAATACTATGCTACAAATACAGCCTTGCAAAGAAAATCCAGGAGCAAATTGCAAATGGGCAATACTCTGATGCTACTGGAACTTGGAGAGAACTGGAAAGCGTGATTAGCGAGAACAGCAATAATGTAAACTTCTATAACTTCTTATTAGATGATTCTGAAGCAATCGTTGCTTCAACTACTGAAACTTCAGTAAGAAAAACCATAGAGAAGTATTCAATGAATCTCATCAGTTCTAAGCCTTCTGCTGCTGGAAGTATTGAGGATCTTATGAATGGAGCTGTTAGGGATAAGCTAAAGATAATTCCCAAGAATGTCATGTGGGTTTTACTAATCCAATTTTCATATTTTATATAGAAAATTTTCCATGATCTGCACTGCTCACTTACATAGTTTGTTTGTTGCAGTTGGGAAGAAGAATCTGGCTATGTCTTCAGTTCTTTGCAAAATGACTTCATGAAACCAAGGATCAATGAGGTATAAAATTTTTTTATTTACATATTGCTTGTTTATTTAGTTTATATTAGCTTAAAAGAGGTTTTGATGATATATAAATTTTTTATAGGTTGATGAGCTATTGTCCATGGGAGTTGATGTCACTATATACAATGGACAGGTTTTAATATAATTTGTTTTTATTATTTGAGAAGATTGCCTTAGGTCATCAATTACTAGGGGTGTAAATGAGTCGAGTTGAGTTCGAGTCTCCTCTCGTTTGAGCCTGATCTCGATTAATTAATCAAGTTCAGGCTTGAGCTCCAACATAATTCGACTAGTTCGAGCCGACTTACAAGCATGCATGTTTATAATAAAAAGAGAGAAAATAATTACGATTCAGATAATTATTATAACAAAATTATAAAATGAATGAGAAGCAAGCTAATGAGTCGAGTTGATGTTGACTCAAGATTGACTCATTAACTCATCAAACTCAGCTCATGAGCCATTTATAGGGGTGTCAATTTTGGGTCATGGGTCGGATTTGGGTCGAACCCAGAACTGACCCGACACTATTCGGGTCAACTCGAATCCAACCTGTTTTTACAAATGGGTTGGTATTTCGAACCCGAACCCGACTCGCTTTGGGTCTGGGTCAACCTGACACTACCCGAATGACCCGAGACCGACCAAAAAATGCTAGTTTTCGACTGTAAAAAAATGAGTCAAACTCCGATTTTTGGGTCAAAATTAGGTCAATCTCGGGTTTCCGGGTCGAAAACGGGTCAAAATTAGGTCAATTTCAGGTTACTGGGTCAACCCGAACCGACCTAATTTTTTAAATGGGTCGATTTACTGAACCCGACCCCTTTCGAATCAGGTTTGACCCTAACTCAAAATTTTCGGGTCTGATTTTCAGGTCATGTCAAAATATTAACACCTCTAGCCATTTATGAGTTGAGCTTGAGCTAGTTCAAAAATCTGCTCGACTCACTTACACCCCTAGTCATCACAATATCATTAATTAATTTAACTTGAATGCTACATTTACTCTATTTTTATTTTAATGTGTATATTTTTGAATTTTTCATATTCAAATAGCCATTTTTGGAATTTATTTAATAGTTCCAGTTTATATTTTTGTAGGTTGATTTGATTTGTGCAACAAAGGGTGTGGAGGCTTGGGTCCAGAAGCTCAAGTTAGGATTAAATTGTAATTAACATATTAAAGCAACAAATAAATAAAAATGGCTTCCTACTGATTTTATATCTCTCAGATGGGAAGATCTACAAAAATTCAATAATGCTGAGCGAAGCCCTTTGTATTGTGGAAATGATGGTCTTACAGCTGCTTTCAAGAAGTCTTATAAGAACTTCCATTTCTATTGGATATTAGGTGCAGGCCATTTTGTAAGTTTATTTATTCTTCTAATTATCAATAATTAATTACATATATACTAATTTTTCTAAATTTTATAATAATAAATTATTTCTTTTAGTGAAAAAATATGTATTTTTTGGATTGCAGGTTCCAGTGGAGCAACCATGTGTAGCATTAAAGATGATAGGTGAAATTACCCAGTCACCAGCAAAGGCTTCATCTTAAAAGATTGTTAAAGCCTTGTACAAGTTAGATTATGAAGAAGCATATTTATTACTGTTTTTTAACTACAATTGTTGCATTATATGTGTACTTTTATTACAAAAATCACCTCCAAGCAAATGTAAAAGTTGCAGTCTAAGATTTTCTTTGGGATAACCTTCTCATTGTTTTGTTTTTCAGATCGCAGCAAAAAAATATTTAACTGACCATTACTTTTTCACTGCTTTCAAGATTTTTTTTCCTTAGGAAGTTGCTTTCTACAACAGCTTTTAAGAAAATTATTTTCTCCATAATAACTTTGCAACCAAGTTCATAAAAAATTACAGCTGTCCCAAACGGATTCAACGAAATTTCTATGATAAAGAGTTTTTCACAACTATGTCTGCTAAAGCCTAAGTATAGTAGCAATACATATTGAATGCTAGAATTTTTTATAAGAGAAATCTATAATATCCAAACAATTTCATATATATATATATATCAGAGTCACGCTGCGCCGCTCTGCTAGGGTTAGCAAGGGCGTTTTGTTTCCGGGGTGTCCCCGCCCCTTGGGGGTCTTCTCGCCGGCGATCTACTGGTCTCAGGGAAGTTTGTTATTCCCAGCTCTCTACTTTTTGTTTTGGTGAGTTTTTTTGGTGGTTTTTCACTGTTTCGTCGGCGTTTCCGGCATGGCTCCATCAAAACTTAAGGACCCTGGTTTTTTTGGTAGGATTTCACATTCTCGTTCTTTTCGTGAGGCGCTTGCTGGATCTAAGCCGGTTTTTCCGGATCTGCGGAAGTCTACGATTCGTGGTTTACCGTCACTTTGGATTTCCGATCAGGAAATAACTGAACTTGCTACCCCTTTTCAATTTTCTTTAGTCGGTTTTTTCCCTTCTAAGAGACCCTCTCTTGATTCTATCAGCAATTTTTTTTTCAATTTAAAGTTCAATGGTGAAGTTTCTGTGACTGTGCTAGACTTTTCTCACATTCTTATCAAGTTATCCAACAATCTCGATTATTGCAGGGTTTTCTGCCATCGTTCCTACCTTGTTTTCAATTGCTTCATGAAATTAACGAAATGGTCACCTAGTTTGGATATCGGTGTTGAGTCGCCGATTATCCCGATATGGATTTCGTTTCCTCGTCTTCGTCCTCATTTTTTCTCCCCACGAATTCTATTTGGGCTGGCTGAGATTTTTGGTAAACCGTTAAAAATTGACAATGCTACGTCTGTGGGTTCTCGTCCTTCAAATGCGCGTGTTTTAGTTGAGCTTGATATCACTAAATCCTATCCTAAACAAGTTTGGCTAGGTTCTGATACCTTAGGTTATGTCCAAGATTTTAGACGATTTTCCTAATTTTTGTTCTATTTGCAAATGTATCGGGCACTCTTCGGGAAATTGCCGTCCTGTTTTGGAAGTTGTTCCTTCTTCTTCTTTGGGGGGGGGGGGGGGGTTTTTTTTGGGGGGGGGGGGGGAGTTGCTACGGCAGCTCGGGATGTTATTCCGCCCGTTGTTGATGAATTAACTGTGGTTAATGTTGTTGTTGATCCGTCTGACCCTGTGGGTGTGCTCGAATCTGGTCCTATTGGCTCCCCATTGCCGCTGGTTTGTTTAAATGAGTTGGAGGATGTTGATAATGTTGTTGCTGAGGGTGGGCTTGATTCGGGAACTCTATTTAATGATGCTAGTGGTATTTGTAGTAAGGCTGTGGACAAATGCCCTGTTGTGGCTGTAATTGAGGAACCGGCTGACCACTTGCCTATGGGAGGTGGTCGAATCTGGGCGTATTGTTCCCCGTGCTGAGGCTGGAGGTGTTTTGCCTGAGATTGAGGATTCTTGTAATCCTGCTGTGAATGTGAACAATAATGTTGAGTGTGTTCAGGTGGAGATTGCGAATGGGAATTTGGTGAGCTCTAATACCATTGTTGACGTCCCGGTTACTGTTGTTGGAACGCATCATTTGGCTAATCGCTTGGGTGATATTGCTGGTCTGGATATTAGGAATCATGTTGACTGTTTGCATGGCTCGTCGGATTATGAATCAGAATTTTCATAAGGTGGTTTGGCTTCTCCGGATTTTTGTGGGGGTTCTGACCCTGGTAACGATTTCACTCTGATTCGGGCTAGACCTGTTGTAAATGTTGCCTCTAGGGGTAGGTTTCGTGGTAGAGGCCGGCGTAGACGTTAATTTTTCGGTTATGTAGATTTTTCCCTGTTCTTTCTTCGGGTTTGCTGTGCTCTATTGGTTTTCATTTTGCTGGT